CTTGTTTTATGAGTTACAATCTAAGAAATTATTATTAGTAATACATTCAATTAAAAATACTTATTATACATATTTAATGCTGTAACTAATAGATGTTTTCCTTAATGATGTGTTGTAGATGTTAAAGGTGGAAAGTAACAAAGTACATTTACTTGATTACTATACTTAAGTACTTTTTGAGGATCTTTACTTTACTTGAGGATTTTTTTTGGGTGGTGATTTCTACTCCACTACAGTTTGAGGAAGCTGCTCGTTACTCATTACTTTTGGCTCAGCTTATCTTTGTAATCTGCTGTTACAGTTTTTCTATTTTGACATGCAATTTCAGCATGCAAGAAAGCAGACCTTAGGACTGAATTGCAACACCACGGTCTTAGAGATTTGCATGATGTCCCACAAATGTGAGAAACTCAGGAAGATATTTGTAGTTAGTAATCTCAGAAGGCTCAGGACATAGGACCCAGAATTCAGGTGAGACAGACAGTGATATAATCAAAAGAGAGTTTATTAAAGTAAAGTACGGCTGCTCGTCTCACTGGAAACTCTGCAGGAGTAGAGGCTCAGGTCAGTGACTTCAAAACTCTAGCGATGGATAATAAAGAGTATGAAAGCCACCAACCAGGCAAAGTTCAGTCTGTGCTCAGAAGAAGGAGTGTTACCCTGAGATGCAGAACTCCTTTGCTTTTTACTGAGCCAGCACCAGAGATCCAGGAGAGAAGAAAAGCAGCATCCTTTAGCAGCCAGAGCACGCATAGGAACCGAAAGATCCAGGAGGGTAATCCAAGCCGTGGTCAGAGCAAGGTCTGCACCAGGCGGCATCCACGTAACAGTCCAGAAAGCCCAGAATTGGCAAACAGAGAAAAAAGTGGTGGCCAAAAAATCTGAAGTCCGAGGGCAGAAAACAGATCAGGAACCGGCAGAACGAAACACAGGGAAAATTAGAGAAATCTTGATAAGAAACTTGGCACCAAAGGCTGGGCTCCAGAGACTTAAATAGCAGCAGGAACAGGTGTATGTGATAAGAGCTAATGAGAGAAGGGTGGAGCAAAGCAGAGAAGAGCAACAAGGAAAAAACCCAGCCTAAAGGTGCCAAGATCATTACAAGTACATTTTATCAAGCTGTGAGTTGTTACTATGTTACCTAGTTTTTCAGTGGGATGAGTTCTCAAATCAGAGTTGTGGTTTCGTTGTTGTTGGTTTTTTTTTTTTTGGTTTTTTTTAAATAAGAAATAATAATAATACAATAGCTGTCATTTTTTGTGGTATTTTCATGCTGAGGTTCTTTACATGTGGTGTAGAATCTGTAGAGGTTGGTTTTATGCATCAATATATCAGATGGTTTCTGAAAGTTACATGATTCTTAGAAATTACTCTTAAATTTACACAGAAATATACTGATATTAGAAAAGTTAATTTGGACTATTGGAATAATGATTTTTTTTAATATTTAACTAGAGTAGATGTTTTACCAAGTTACTTTTACTTGTAGCTAAGTAAGATTTGACTATGAGTATCAATACTTTCACTAAAGTACTACTGTTGAGTATTTCATCCACCGCTGGTAGATGCTGATGACTGTAGGCAGGAAGAATCTGATGTAGTGGTCTGTCTTAAGCAGTTCTGGAGAGGCTTCTGACTGAAAACACTCCAGTTGTATAAGAACCAGAAGGAGGATGCTCAGATTTTTCCACTGTTTTCTTCATTTTATGAAGACTTATTTTTGTAAAATTATTTCAAAACGACAATTATATGAAACACAGCTTTTAGAGGGGATGTTGTCTCATATCTAAACTCATGGGGTTGATCAAACTCTACTGCAGCTGTGAACTGTGGGGCTTTAGTCAGAGTACGGGTATCGATTTTGATATCCTTGCACTTTGAATACTGCATGGGATCAAGGGTGTGGAATCCAGTTCTCTGCTATGTCGGGACAGTGTGTTGCTTTTGCTGTGACAACATCTTTATTTCTGTTTCTCTTCATATTTAGGCTTTAATTTGTTAAGCTAAAATGGTATTAAAATACTCTATTAGAGCCACAAGTTGGTTGGATAATTTTTAGTGAAATTAATCTCAATAGGTCAACTACTAAATTCCACCTTCAATTTTAAGCATCTAGATGCCAAAGTGACTAAAACATGGTCAGCGTTGACAAAGCCTCCTCATTGTGTTGCATAAAATTAGGTGTTACTGACTTGTTGATGCATTATTCGAATAGCAGTTGTGTAAACACTGTATCAGTCACACAAATTTGCAGTTTCCACAGACTGTGTAGAATGTCAAAAAAGACCAATGGCGGTGTGCCATTGCTGGTGATCAAATGGTATATGCTAAAGTGTGAATTGTGTAGGAAGGTGATGACAGAGAGTCTACCAAACAACATCTTATCGTCCTATTCCTGTGACACACAAGGCATACACACAGTAGTGCGATAGGAATATGGCATTGAGCCTTTTAGCAACAAAATCTCCAGGTAGTTTTGGTCTGAAAAAGTGATTTGTGTCATGTTCTTTTTAGGGATCTGACCCACATGCAGGAAACCACTCAACCAGACAACCAGAGAAAAGGTTAAACAGGTTTATTGTAAGCATGATGAGTTGGATCCAGTGTTACTCAGAACGCTGGTGAACCAGAACTGGAAGTGAGAAGGGAAGTTCAGAGTTTAGTTTAGGCTCAGTGGGAAACTTGAGCGACGACTTGCAAAAACAGAGACTGAAACGGGCCTTACATTTCCAGGGAAAAGGTGTCCTTCCCAGAATCCAGTCGGTGTGGGTTAATCCAGAACTTGGTTTGACTCGTTGGAGGGCGGACATGGTTTTCTCGGGTTTGGTTGGTTCCTGAGGAGCAATGAAGCTGACTGCCACTTAAATTTCCTGAAGTACTTGAACGGTTCGTGTGGAGATTTATCCCCTGCTCTGTGTGAAGCTCAAACAATCCTTTCAGGGGGGGAAGGTCCAAACATCCAGTTTGCATCCCCTGCTCAGTGTGAAGTTCAAACTATCCTTCCAGGGGGATAAGGCCAATGAAAAGGGCCAACGAGAACCGGGCCCTTTTCATGTCATTTTTCTTATCTTTTCTTGTCTTTTTGTATCTTTTCCTGGAGTCCATTGACCAGTGGATTGACCAGAAGGAAAGAGACAACTAGTGACTCTGGATGATCCATAGATTGTGTAAAGAGGGATGATCAAATGATGATCAAATGCTCCACCCCTCTTAATTTTAATTTTATATATATATATATATATATATATATATATATATATATATATATATATATATATATATATATCTACCAGAGGTAGCGACAAATTTATCAGCAATTAATAAATATGTCTTCTATTGTAGTTTTAAAAAACCAAAAGCAAATAAATGATATTCTGTGCAAAGCTTGCAGCTGGCAACTTCGATAGCTTGAAATAAATATCAAATTGTGCATACCTTTGCCAATACATGCAGTTTATATAAAATAAAGATCACCTGTTATTGTCTTGTTCAGTATCAAACTGTGCACATAATAAAGATAGTTTCCCTGTTTGAACAACACTATTGAGCGAACATGAGGTGAACAACAAAGCTGTAGAAACAACCACTTACTCAACACTTCAAAACAACATCAGACATTGGTAAGTCTCAGAAAGAGGACACATTTCAAAGCTACATTTTATTCCTCAGACCAACCATAGTCCCTAAAGAACTCCTTTAGATGCGTATACATCAATGCCTGAAATGGGCTATCAACACTAAACTACATCACAAACCCCTGCCTTGAGAAAGTTCAAAAGCTTTGTAAGTCAAAATAAAGCTGTTGGTTCACTTCCCCATAGCCCTGAGATGGGCTAAATTGGGACCCCCTTCCACCCACAAACATTTGTAAATTTGGCAGTAAGATAGAGGGGGTTTCTAAATTATTTTCAACCTTAGTAACATTCAAATCACCTGTATGTGTAGAGTTAGTATAATGAATAAACATGATTATTGCACATATGTGGTCCGGTGTCAGATAATCTTTTTTTATGCGCTTACTTACTTGTCATAAATAGAAACAGTTGTTGTTTATTTTATTTATTATTATTTTTTTATTCTATTAGACTACATCCACAAATTTCAGTGTTTCATTTTTATCTTTGGTAGGGGGTACTGTGAGAGACAAACACAAAGTACAGATTGAATGGAAGCTAAAATATTCTTCAATGAAAATCTAGAATATGTTGCATGCATTTGCTATTGCCCTGTTTAGAAGGGCTTTACAATGATGCTGATGATGTTGCCAACTCCAGGTATAAGTTTTCCACCGTGCATATTTTTTTTGCATTAAGGCCAAAAATGTTTATTTTTTATGTTTGAATTGAACATTGTTTCATATGTTTAATGGTTGATATATTGTGTTTCATAAGATTTAAACTTGTCCAGATCTCTATTCTTGTTCTGGCTGATGTATAACTTTGTCTTCATGTTGCTGTTTGTTTACTAATGTTCTTTAAGGGACCTCTAGGGCTTCAACTGGATTTTATTGAGGGGCGTCAAAGTAAAGGGGATTAATACATATAATCTTCTTTCTAACAAACTGTTATATGGTTCTTGCATCAAAGTTGACGCTCTCTGCAAACCCCCAGCCAATCATAATTCAGGAAATCATCAAAATTCCAGGGCAGGAGGAATGCAGTACAGTCACACATAAAGCATGTTAAATAATCATCTGGGTGGCTACAAATGCATAAATCATACAGTCAAATGTAATTTAATCCATTTCAGCCCACAGGAATCTACATTTTTTTATGTTAAACAGTGTGATTGCATTAAATTGAAGCTCACCCTTGGTTCTTTTTGCTGCGCAGTCTTACTGTAATGTCAATACTCATTTAAAAAAGTGGTATCACCCTCTTCAGTCTGTCAGATAATCATATTCAATCTCACTTACATGATTTCCTCATCTATATCCCAATTGAGTGTATTTTTTTCTGTTTTGCAGGTTCTGGCATGGCGAGTACAGAGTGGCAGTGAACATCAATGACTATCTAGACATCTATTGTCCTTTCTACGAGGGTCCTCCATCCCATGGGCGAATGGAGCGCTACATCCTTTTTATGGTCAACCATGAAGGCTACACTTCCTGCCAGCACAGAATGCGTGGCTTCAAACGCTGGGAGTGCAACCGCCCTAGTGGTCCTGATGGCCCCCTGCGCTTTTCAGAGAAGTTCCAGCTCTTCACTCCGTTCTCGCTGGGCTTTGAGTTCAGGCCGGGGCACGAGTACTACTACATCTGTAAGCTATCAGCTAGCTGTCACCATGTAGATGCTTTTAAACAGCCAAAGGCTGCAGATTATGAATATGCAAGAATGCGTGTCTGTTTGGCTTTCATCGTTACTCCTGCTCAACATGTATGTCTAAACAGCATGTAAATACACAATCAGCAGGAGAGGGAGTGATTTCTCAAACAAATTCCTTGTTACTTAAAGACATACAGGTGTGAATAGACACGCCTCCTCTGTCTCTCCTCTCTCTATATCCTGATGTATCTCTCCTTGTGTCTTATATCATAAGTGGTGTGCTCAGCAAAGTGGTAAAAATGTCACCAGGGGTACTTTGTAATCATTTTTATATTAGCTGTATTGATGCTTCTCCTCACTTCAACAAGTGATGCATTAGTGGCACAAATGAGCTTTGCACCTCGAGAATGTTTTTCTGGATCAAATTAAAAGGCTATCATTCCCCCGAGCTCACATGGGACAGATGGAAATTAGGATGCACTCATACTCTCATTTTTTTCAGCAAAACAGTGTGCAATGTTCACTATATATCCAGTTTTACTTTTAAGACTAATATTAGTTATAAGTCATTCAAAATTAGTTTTGCAGCTTTTTCTGTTATGTACCGGCTTAAAATGCTACGAAACCCAATTTACTTTATTTAATTAATTTTTCATATATTTCATAGTATTCCATCTCATGGCATTGGTGGTACTAGACCTCATTTACCTGAGGGGGGAGAGTGGGCCCCAATGTTTTTTTTCAAAGGGGCGCAAAGGTAAAGTATAAAACAAAATTATATGGATGCATAGACTCAGGAATAGCGTTGAGTTCAAGGTTTTATTCGTTTTTTAAAAACTCAAACTCAATGCTATCCAGAAGTTTTGGACTGAAAAAGCTTCCTGGATGGGAAGCAAAACGTCTTCAAACTTGGAAACAAAGTCCAGTGGATTGTTTTTAATTATATATTTTTGGAATGACTTTGACCTGGATGACTGAGAATCTTCACCAGCATGATGCAGAATCTGAGGCCAATTTTTGACCCAAGAGAAACAGCCATGACAGATCAAACCTGTTATACTGTATTAATGGTACAACACATGGATTTTAAATCATTGTTAAAATAAAAATTAAATGTAAAAAAAGAAAATAGACCCAAGAGACCAGTCAGTAATGATTTCTGTGTCAACGGATATCATCATTTGATATAAGTCTTTAGTACAGGGGCTTTAACAGGGGCCAGAACTAGTCCTACAGGGATACTGGCCCTGGTCCACGATGTCTCAAAGCACTTTACAGATTGACTTCCATCAGATCCAATCTACAGCTATTGATCTATATTTTTTTTAATGGTCTAAGCAAAAGATGAGCTGATGGTTTTCATGACTTCCTCTAAAATAACACAGACAGCCAAAACCTAAGAGACATTGGAAGCTAAGCTTAGCTAGGGACTGGGAACTGTTTAGAAATGTAATGTGATCTACCCACAGTAGGAGAGAGCGACACATTCAGAGATAACAAGAAGGCTGAATCTTTTACCTTCTATAATCACAAAATAGCACAACTTGTAAAGTTTAAAGGTACCTTTTTAAACTTTTCGATTTTATTCTTGGATTTAGAGAATTTGTCAGGCTTTTGAAAATCTTAGATTTAACTTAAGTACGGTAACTAAATTCCCTAGAAATTACACAAGGAGGTATGCTAATAACTCTGCTAACAAATTTAAACTGAGCAGCGTCTCTGTCAGTAGACTGCATGTCTGAATTTCTCTAGAGAAGACTGAAAAACTGGCCTTGACCTTTTTTAGCAGCAGATTATGTATTTCAGCCGTGACTCATAACAGGATGAAGGTTCTGAGCCACTGGTTTCTGTTCGGCATGAGAGTAGAACAGGTTTATCTGCTGAGTTTCACTGCTTTTGGACAGTAATTCCCATGTTACATTGACATCACCCTGGTTTAGAGAGGGCTCTCAGTAAAAAAAAAAAAAAGTCATTGACAGATAATCTTAAAGGCTTTGATCCACTTATTCTCCGCAGTTCTCTTTTCGGATCCTAAATGTCATGGTGAAAAACTTTAATATGATAAGTGAGACACAGAGACAAAGTGAAAACAAAGCAGAGTCATTGTGTCATTGTATTATTGCCAGTATCGGCAAGCAGACAGCCAGCCTGCTCATGAGGCTAAGGTAAATGGCTGCCCAAAAGCCTACACCCCCCACCCCCACACACACGCACACACATACTCGTTCTGCCATCGTAGTGAGGACAATGTGTTGACTTCCATTGATTTTCAGATATTTTCAACCCTTTCTCTGCCCTAATCCTAAAACTAGCCCTAAACCTAACCATTACCAATGCATACCTCACCCTAACCCTAACCAACTGGCACCTTAGTCCTAAACCTAAGCATTAGCAAAATAGCATATGGGGACAGGCAAAATGTCCTTACTTTGCAACAGCTAGTCTTCAATTTGATGGTGAAATTGGAATATTGGTTCTCACTCTGAGGGCTTGACAGGCACACCCCCTTACACCCCACATAGATTTTCTTTACAACTCAAGTAAAGGTGGATTTACAATGAGAAACCAGGTCGTCTGTGTGTTTCGCAGTGAACGCAAATGTGCCCCGCCGTTGTGGAAAACGACTCATGAAGTTGGACCAGCTAGAGGAGCGAGGTGCATGGGAACGCTGGAACCGTTTTTCCACCTGGATCCCCGTTCTTTTTGGCGCTCATCTTCCTTCGTTGTCACACAAACTTGCCCCGCACTTCCTCACCGCCTCGGGCGTATCTAGACCGACAGCTAGTTCCTGATTGGCCCTCTTGCATTGTGGCGTTGAATAACATAGCGCAGACCATGCTTCAATATTGGGCATAAATCAAAAATATCTGCGACAAGCTCACTGTGAAGAACTGCTGAGGGAGCATACACAGGCCTTAAGGACTCTTTGACCCCTGCTGACTTATAGTTGCTGACTAGTATTGTGTTTCTTAAACCCATGGGGTTGTATGTGCTCAGATTAGTGCTTTTGAGTATTTTGAATACATGAGTGTAAGGTTTGTCTATGGGGGATTGTATTGAGGAGTGTTCTTAGGGGTCAGCCGTCACACAATCATGAGTCTGTGAAAGGCCATGTCCGTCATGTTGATTGACAGCCCCTCTCTGTGTTTCTGTGTCTTTCTCTCTGTTTGCAAGCCGAGACACTTCGCAGACTGAAACTCAGGTGCAGGTCAGTCCTGTTGTGGAACTGCTACCCATGACGACTTTAAGCACCTGTCCTTTCGGATGAACCGCTGTTTCTGTCTGGGTTTTTTTTCCTCACTGACTTGTGAAACACCTCGAATGTTGATGGTGTTTTGCGGCCAGGCCTGCCAGAGCGACTCTTGCATAGTTTGCATGTATGCAGATGGGTGTGTTTTGTCATGTGCTTGACATGTTGACAGGTCGTTCCACCCCACACTTGCTTTTCCCAGCTGGCATCTGATGGGGATGAGTGGTTTTAAATAGGTTTTCAGATGAAGACTGGATTGCGGATGTGGTGGGAAACAGAGGTGCTGGGAAAGTTGATAAAAACAAGGAAAAGGGCAAAGTTGAAACTTTGGGAAGAGAGGTCAAAAGAAAACGTTTTTTTTCTGGATGTAACAAAATGGCTGAAACTGTCAAAAGAGGAAATCAAGATAGTTTATTTTCAGAATATAAAGAATGGAAAAGTTGCATTGGTCTGTCAAGGGTAAAGGAGGTAAAAGACAGAAGGATGGATCAAGGGAGGAGCTGATGACAGACGAGGGAGTAAAGGGCAAGAGAAGGGTCACATTTATTTCCTGTGCACTGTGGATTTTGATGATGGTCTACTGTGAGGTCACCATAGTCTCTGGTTTTGCAGACCTCCTCACAGGAGAAGAACAATAGGTCTTCTCACACGTCTCTGCATCCCATCAATGTGTGCGCACATTTTTGCGCACCTCTGTGTGTGGGCAGCCTGAGTATGTGCATATCAGCATGTGTGAGTTGTCGAACTCTGGCCACCATCTCCTCTGAGGTCTACAGCTCTATTTCACATCAGAGGAAGGTGGGCTAAAAAAAAGCCTGATTCAATTTATTTCGCTTTACTTTGAAGTTTGTATCATTGGAACTTTTTACACTTATTCTCTCTCTTTTTAGGGGGTAGAGATATAAAAGCCCAGGCTGCTCAGTGACACAGTAGTTAACACTGTCACCTCACAGCAAGTGGGGACTGCATCTGTTGGGAATTTGCATGGATTTCCTTTCCAATTCCAAAGTCATTCAAGGCAGGTCGATTTGAGAGGCAGTTATTTCCCTTAGGTGTGAATGTGAGTGTGACTGAATCCCATTGAGCAGGCTGATCCATTACAGACTTGTTTACATTGCTCAATGTGTTTATAGAATCTCACAAGCTGGGGAACATTGGTTCAGGGACATTTTAAAAGACCTAAAATAACAAAGTCAGGCAAATAAAAGACCAACCTCATCAGTAAGGTTGTTATCTTCATACAATTCGATTGATTTTATGACGATTCTCTAAGAAAAGTATAAAACAGTGCCTACAACAGTGCAGAAGATGTCAAATTATAGAGGTCTTTTTTAATTTTCAAAAATAGGAATTTAAACACTGAGGCAAAAAAAATGCATTTGTCTCCCTTTACTCTGATTTGCCTCAATGATATCCAGCCTTCAGATGTCCCTAATTTATACACATATTCAACCTAGATGTTATTTATTCTAACCGTAATTCCAGCTGTTATGGTTGTTAGAGACAAACGGGAAAAAAACATCTTCATGAAGAACAATGAATAAGGTAAATATATAAGGAAGGAAGTTGTAGAGAAGTTTGAAGCAAGGTTGTACTAAGAATTGAAATCACATAGAACTGATATAAAAATCAAAGGGTATAGTTCAGCAGTAAACCTTTCAACAAATGGTTATTTAAATGAACTGAGAAGCTGACCAACCAGAGTATTAATTAGAAAAGTAGCAGGCAGTCCATAGGAGCATTCAAAACACCTTACCACCACCATACCAAATAAATCCAAACACACCATAGATATCATGGTGCCAAGATCATGCTGTGGGGATGCTTTAGCAGGGAAGCTGGACAGAACTAATGCGTGGATTATTCTTGCAGAAAACCCAATAATCCTGGTGTAAAATCTGTTTGAGGTTGCTATACTTTTAAGACAGATTCAAATCTCGCCTTGTGGAAGCGCCATCATTTTAAATACAGCCAGAGTGTAGGAATTGCTAAGATCGGAGCATAATCTATAGTCAAAGTCCAAACATCAATCCAATCTGTGGCAAAAGTTGAAATTTGATTGAGAATAAGTTATTTTCCAAATAGGAATAGGCTGAAATTAGTAGTGTAAATAAATGATTGACTCATAATCAATTATGGTCAGAAAAGTTGTTCCACAGGATTATTGATCACATCCACTGTCAAACTAGGGGGGCATTATCCTGCAATTTAAAGATATTTATCTTCCCCAACATACCTGAAGGAAATGGCTTGATTACCTCCTCATTTATAGTCAAGTTCTCAGCAGTCCTGCTAAAGACCGTTGTTTGGTTAAGGCGTCTTAATGCAGAAACATTTCAAAAAGGTGCAGGACTAGAGTCTGACACATTTAGACCAGGCATGTCCAAAGTTGGTCCTGGAGGGTAGCTGTCCCACAGGTTTTGGATGTTTCTGGGCCTCAGCACAGCTGATTCTGATGATTGCAGTTCAGAAAAGGATTGTTTATCAGCTATTAATGGAAATCAGTTGTGCTAAAACATAGAAACCTCTAAAACCTGCTGGACAGCTGCCCTCCAGGACCATCTTTGGACATCCATGGCTTAGACGTACCTTCTGTCAGTATTGTAGTGTGGTCACCATCCAAAAGAGGGCGCCACCGTTGTGTTTGTAAATACAATTAGTTAACAAGCACCTGAAGTCATCATCTACACTCACTGGCCACTTTATTAGGTACACCTGTCCAACTGCTCGT